GTGTTCATTTCCAAATGCGGATACGAAAACAAATCCCTGCTATCCTACCTACTACCACTAATCATCAATAAAACTAAATAAAAACCCCATAAAATAAATCTAATAAATGTTACCTCAAATACCAAAACGTATAACGAAAGATAATAGTATTGAAAACAAATAAATAAAAGAAATATATAAATGAATGAAATAGTAAAGAAATGAATGGGAAATCTAGAAGACATAACCATAGATGACCCTGATCCATCGACATACACACTTCTTCTAACCACTCTAACCACTCTAAATAGTTTGTTTGTTTGTTTAAAACTTTACGACCCATCGAACAGCAAGAGATCATTTAAGGTCAAACAGTTGTTTTTTTTTTCTTTTTCTTTAAATAAGGTTGAAATGTTTTTAAAAAAACTTTCCCTTTCCTTTCCTTCTTTTTCGATGTTGTCTTGCTTTTTGTTTTTAAAAATTCACTGTTTTCAGAGGTGCGTGAAAATTTCTCACCTGGCAAGTATCAAAGATTCCCCTTTCATCATCAGACACCAAATTAGAATTAGATTTTATTATATAGTCCAACTTTCCTAAGAAAGGTCAAGATCAAATTGGGGTTTGATTTTTCGAAAAGTTCTTTCAAGTTGTTCACGTTGTAAAATAATTTTCGAATATGTGCCATGTCACTGCAATCAAGCAGGAAGTGCTTCACAGTATAAGCCTCCTGGCATGCTAAATAGTGTTTAATATTTTTGTTGTAAATTCTCAAGAACAAAAAACAGATGTATAAAATTCACTTACATCATATGCATAGGTTTTATTCCAATTATAATCAACGCTTGTTAAAACAATAAACATTGCCGAAGAGTGGGGGCGTAGTTAAAAAATGCGGTATCATAGGAAAAACCGTCCTTTAAACACCATGTCTTATTGCGGGTACGTTTGTTCAGGTTTACTATATCTAGATTATTCTATACCTAAATTATTTATATCAACTTTTTTCTATGTATATTTTAGGGGCCAAATTGACAAGAATACGGAGGAGCAAAATTAGCTTTCAAACAAAGTACAGACTATACAAATCTCTGGTAGTCGCCATTCTCCTATATGAATGTGAAACGTGGACGCAGATACAGAGAGAAGGACCCAAGCGTTTGAGAACAAATGCATGAGAAAACTACTTGACATTTTTTTTTTATTGGGAACAAAAAATCAATGAGTTTGTGCGGAAAAGCGTTGAAAGCTTTGTAGAGCACCGGGAATCTCTTCTCGCCACTGTCAAAGGGAGAAAAATGGCGTGGTTTGGACACATTACAAGGCATGACAAACTGTGTGCAAGACTATCATGCCAGGCACCGCTGAAGGTGGACTTAGGTGAGGACGCCAACGCAAAAACTGGTTGAACAAAGGCAAACAATGGACGGGTATGTCTGTACCAGAATTGCTGACGGCTACCATTAATGGACCGTTGGGGAAAAGAGTTAATGTGGCTTCTGCATTCGCCCGACGATTACAAAAGTCAAGGGGATGATGATATCGTAGGGAATTCATGTCTCAATTTGTAAATGAATTCAACTTACATGTATACATTTAGCTTTGTAGTAGGCAAGTCCAGATGTAGAAAAATTGGAGCAAAAACGATTGTGAGAAATGTTTAACTACTTGCTTTGAAAATCTGCATTCAAAAACCTAAAATTCTGCTGGGATTGAACATTGTTATTGTTGTGTATGATACACCTAATTTACATAAGCGGACTACCGACCATATAAATATGGGTTGGTACCGGAAGACGGGGAAGATAGTAGAGATTAAGAAATTGAATCCAGAGACTCTGCCCGACTGCGATTTAGTCAACCCATTATGCAGGAACAGTCTTCCCAAGAATATACCAAACTAACTGTAAATATTGTGTACCTATTCTTTGTTTCAATACATTTTGTTAACGTACATTTTGTGTTGTATTATTCCATGCTTATTTAAGCTTCAACAGTTATAAATAAGAAATATGCAACACTCCCAACAATCAGGTCGATGCCATTTTATTTCCAAAGCCTTGACGGAATTCAAAAACAGCCTTGTGTGGAGGGAGGGAGATGACTTATTTTCCACACTACAATCCCTTTCCCCATAGGTGCAACGTCGCAAGCTACTCAAATTATCTCTAACCTAAAACTACTTCCATATTAAATGTTCAGATGAGCCTCATTCTTTATTTGCAGCTGTTCAAACCATTTCAGTCAAAACTCACCTTGCTATGTTCACATGTTTGATCACCCTCATTCTTTCCAAGAGCAGCTACTTTTCGGAACAAACTCCCGCGTGGATGCTTCCCAGAACGCTACAATTTTAACTTCTTCATGTCTACGGTTAATCTTTATCTATCCATATATCCCGTAATCTTCACTTTCTACTTCTTCATGTTATTTTTATGTCACTCATCTCATTAAGTAAATCTCTATCTTGTGTGGCTCTTGAGCCTTGTTTTGGGTGAAGTTTAGTAAAAAGAAAAACATGTATATTTGCAATCTTGTTTTTGTCACGTGTGCGACAAAAGAAATAAGATAAAAAGAAGTAAAGGGAATGACAAGAAGACCAACTAAGTTTTATTATAAGCATGAAAAAGGTTTTATTATAATGTTAGTGATTATGGTCAATACCTAAAAAGTAAAAAAAAACGTAAGTTAGAAAGACTTCAAAGTAACTTCAGTCGCAAGTTGCTAAGTTTTTGTGATATAGTTTACCTGTCAGGTCAGTGAATAATAGTAAACGCACTGCTCTGAAGTAGATTTCTGCAACAACTGACTTCGCCAGCCAACTCACTTAATATTGGCTCCAATCAATAAATACGAATAACCGGAAGAAAGACCTCCACTTTTAAGGTCATCCAACCACACCAAATGACCCAGAAGTCGGAGATGCTTCGTTCATAAAAATAGATTGTCTTAACCGTTTTTATAAGAAAACCCTAATTGCACAGATTGAGTGTACGATATAAATAAATGGATATTATTGTATCCGTTTCTCTGTGGGTTGTTACAGTTTTTTTGTGTATATATATATATATGACTAGTGAGTTAGTGAAAATGATTTAACTCCCTTTATAGTCCACCAATAGAAGGTTAACCAATCAGAAGCCGCAGAACATTGTATCCGTCGTGTATAAAGGCGGCCATCTTTGTTTACCCTACCGGAATGACCAGTGCCAACTTGACAGGCGAAGATGACAGAAGGAAGAACTACGCTCTGCTACTTTGCTGCGATATCCACTGCGAACCTGAACTACGCTTTCGTACTGTCTCCGAAATATTCACTGCCAACCTCTGGATTCTATACTCGAAGACGACCGCCATGAATTTGTAACACTGGTTATGAGCGCAGATCACGATTTTATTGGGTTAACTGGACTGGATTTGTTGAGTTCAACTCCTTGTTGAGTTTGCGTGGGGTAACTTTACGCTAAAGCTTTTATTTTTGTTGTTTCATTTTCTGATCTCTTGACAAAAAAAAAAAAAAAAAGAGAGAGAAAAAGAAATTCATCACTGACTTGTCAGGATGGTTGCTAGAGAAGACAGCGGGTGACTAAGCACTTGGGTAAATCAGCCACCTCGAAGAATATGAAAATAATGCAAAACTAATCAAGTTTGTAAGAATTTGAAGAAATCGAAAAACAAATGTACAGAAAAAAAACGTAGAGAAAAGAAGAATTTGATAAAAAGAAGGGTTGAAGACGACAAAGAAAATCAGGAAAGATTAGACATGTCATATTGTTGTGGTAGGATCCACCTAATTTGCATAGTGGAGTACCGACCATATAAATATGGTTGGTACCGGGAAGAGAGTGGGAGGAATCAAGAGATTCAATCCAGAGACTCTGCCCGACTGTGACTAAGTCAACACATTCTCCAGGAACGGTCTTCCCAGGAATATACAAAAGACTATATGTAAATATTGTGTACACTTTCTTGTTTCAATACATTTTGTTCTAAGTACATTTTGTGTTGTATTGTTATTCCATGCATTAGTCAAGTTTCAACACATATGTTCCCTAATTCGTTAGGGTTATAATTGTCATAGCAACAGTCTTGTGTCCAAGGCAAGATAGTACATCACTTTTAAGACTCGTTTTGATATCAGAGATTTCAATCATCTTGAGTGGTTGCCACCTCAATGAAAGAGAGACCAGTTTGCTCTTCTGCTTAACCTAGTGGTTGTCAGATGTTTCCCGAGTGACCCCACTAAGGGTTGGTGAGGAGTTCCAGAGGTTTATGATAGTCAAGGGGTCGAATGGGAGTCGGTGTGCTAATGACACTGAGCTAAAGTTTAGTTAGTGTACATGTATGTTGTATTCTTCGGTGCAGATAAAAACGAAACTCGATGATGGACAAAATCAAAAGCTTTAGTGACATCGATCCAAGTAGATTTTAACTTACTTTGATGAGACGAATTTAATGCTACATTGAGCATTGCTTGCTCTTTTTAATTGTTTTTTTTTTTTTTTTTTTGTGGTGGGGGGAGGATTCTGAACCTGATGACGCTGGCGGGGAATTTTGAGCCTGATCCAAATTATTTTAAATTTTCATACAATTTAGGTAACAGTACGAGTTTTAAGGTTCAAAAATATTTTAAATAATGGTCGCTAGAAAAGGTAAGAGAAACAAAAGGTGGGGTTCATGTCGGAAAAGTCTGATGACCCCTGAGCCTATAGTTAGTGGGAGAAGAGATGAATTCGTACCTTTCCTTAGAGTATCGATGCGAAAGGGAGCGTAACGAACTTGGCTGGGATTCGAACTCAAATTGACTATTTTTCATTCAGAGTCGCTAATCGTAACTCGTACTTCCGGAAAGATTATAATTTGAAAATGTCGAAGAGACATTGTAAGAACAAGAACAAGAAGAAATAAAATGATTACAATAAGGGGTCAATGAAAAAATGGAGTACAATATGAAATGTAATGTTAGACGAATGGAATGAAAAATAAATTGAAAAAGAAGAAAAATACAAAAAGAAGAAAAATACAAAAGGAAGAGAAAAAGAGGAAAAATGAAAGAAGAAAAGAATGATTTTGGTGTAGAATGAAAAACCAATCTAAAGAAGGAACAAATAAGTGGGTAAAAAGAAGAAGAAATGAAACTCTTAGAAGTCGAAGCATATGAAGAAAAAAAAGAAGAAAGTGAAAGAGGGAGTCTGAAAAATGCAAGCAGCATTAACTGTATAGACTTCTATTTTTACGAATGATTTAATGTGTGCCGGGTAAAGGCTTAATCAACGGACTTACCTTTTTTTTCATTTTTTTGAAGGCTGAGGGTAATTTTTATGGCTTTGTTGCGTGACTGGGCTTGAAATATCGGACTTTTCCGACGGGAGGTCGTGGACCGACAAACCACAGTCCTTACAACCATTACCACAGCTGCTGAGTCCACCCGAACACCACCCTCCTTCAACCCGGTTTGTCCGCGGCCGGTGAGTCACGGACGCACAGAGTTTGTGCGAGGATTTACAGGATTTATTTGGTGCAAAAAAGGAAGGAATTGCGATGAAGAAATAAATAAATAAAACGAATAAACATATAGATAAAAAGAAAAAAAAAGAAAATCCAAAATGGCGGACGGCTTGTCGTTTCAGCTTTCTGTTCCCGCCTTTTTTCTTTGTGGTTTCTTCCCCGGGGAAATTTTGATCAGGGTTTTGACTTACGAAGAAAGAATATCAAGTGTAATCACGAAGGCTGCAAAGGAAAATTGAGATGGACAGAAAAGAGGACGTTGGAAAAAAGGAATATTAGCTGAAGATGATGACGATAAGAAAGAAGAAAAAAAGGCGACTGAAATAAAAAGAAAAGATAAATAATAACAAATTATTAAAGAAACGATAAATAAATAGAATTTAAAATAAAACTGAAAAAAAGACGTGACGGTGAAAAAGAAAAGGAAAAAAGAAAAAAGGAACAAAATGAGGAATAGTAACGGAAATTTAGCAGAAGGAAATAGAACATCAAGAAGGAGAAGATAAACGAGAAGAAGAAGAAAAGAAGAAGGCGAAGAAGAAGAAAAAGAAGGCGAAGAAGAAGGCGAAGAAGGCGAAGAAGAAGAAGAAGAAGAAGAAGAAGAAGAAGAAAAGAAGAAGAAGAAGAAGAAAAAGAAGGCGAAGAAGAAGAAGAAGAAGAAAAGAAGAAGAAGGCGAAGAAGAAGAAGAAAGTAGATTTGTAGACGTAAGGAAGAATAAAGAGCGGACGGAAAGAGAAAGAAACTGAAGAAAAAATTTTAAAAAAAGAGAAGACAGAGAAGAGAATAAAGAGGACTGAAAAAAGAAAGATTATGATGAAAAATAAAAACGTAGATGGAGAATGAAAGAAAAACTGCCTAAAGAAGAAGAAACTGAAAAAGAAAATAAATATGAGAACGTGGGAAGAGAAGAAGAAAAACAAACGTGAAGGATAAAATATTTTCAAGAAGATTTCATAGAAGAATTTAAAATAAGAAAAAAAGAAAAAAAACTCGAAGAAAAACTTTGAATCGGCAAAGAAGAAGACAAAGAAGAGAAGAAATCGAGGGAAACAGAAAAGAAATGACATATTTAGAAAACGAAGAAGTAGAAGAAAAGAAAAAGAGGAAGAAAAAATAAAATGATAATGAAAAGGAGAAAACGCTGCTGTTTCTAACGATAATGATGATGTTGGAAATAATGTTTCTGGAAAAAAAGTATTGTTTTGGTTCGAATATAAAAATAAACATTACATAATAATTAGCAAAGAAAATCAAGCGCATACTTCGTCCCAGGAGAATTCCATGGTGGCTTTTGCCAATTTAAGAAAATAACAAATACCAGCTTTTTCTTCTACTGATATATCAACACACGCAGCCATCCACTTTAAGACAAAAGTCACATTTACAGTTGTAAAAAATGGCTTATACGTTTGCACCTGAGCATTTATACGTTGGCGCCAAATTATACGAATTGCAGGATATGAAAATTCCACAGCGTAACTAAGGAAATCAGACCTAGAACTCCAAGTAAAATGGACGTCAAAAGGGAGAGTAGTAGTTGTAGTGGGAGGAAGAGGAGGAGAGGAGGAGGTGGAGGAAAGAAAGAATGACAGAAACCAACAAACGTAGGAGGATGAGTAACACTTAGAAAAAGAAAAACTACAGAACATATAGGCAAAAAGCGACAAAAAGAAGACATTAAGGCGAGAAAAAAAAACTAAGAAAAGAGACGGAAAATTAAGAATTAGTAGGAGAAATGGGAAAAAGATGATTAAATGTAAAAGAAATGTAAAAGAAAATAAGATTAAGAGGTGGGTAAAAGCGAAAAAATAACGAGAGAAGAGGAACTGAAAGAATTAGAAGAAAAAGAGAGAGTGGGCAAGGGGCGAAGATTAAGTAAAGACGAAAAGAAAGAACGGGAAAAGAAGCAAGAGTAAGGAAAAAAAAAACGAGAAGGAGAAAAACGATAAAAAAGAAGAGGAAGAAGCACAAGAAGAGAAGGAGAACATGAAGAATGAAGAGAAAGAAGTAAGAAAGAACAATGATAGGAAAAAGAGAATTATGAGAAGAAAAGGAAGAAGAATAAAAGAAGTGTGAAGAAACCAAACGATGGAAGGGATGTAAAACACGGGAGAACCCTATGTAAAAAGATGCAAAAGGAGAAATAGAAGAATGGATAAAAATGTTTAAGCAAAAGAAAGTAAAGAAGAAAGAAGGCTGGGCCATAAAAAGATGAAAAGAAGAAAGTATTGAAATAAAAAAGAAGTAAAAAAACGAGTAATAAAAACAACAGAAGAACAAAAAAGATAAGAAAGAAGAAATAAAAAAAGAATTATTCGACTGTGAACATCTGTTCATATATTCGCTTGTGCGCATGCCTATTAACAAATTATCTCCCTTGCTTGCAACATACTCAGATTAATCATTACGTGATTTAACCTTACTTATGGTGATTGCCTAAGTGTAGCTCAGACGTGGAACACGGCCGAAAGTATGGGACACAAAGTGAGGATTGAACTCACTATTCAGTCGTAATTTATCTAGCAAGACTAGCTTGCTAACCATTACACCAGATCGAGATGCCGAATAGAGATTTACTAAGGATAGTTTAATTGAGGCACAAGGCCACGTTTTAGGATCGGTGTTGTAACTGATCTCTCGAAACTAACCATTACGTCACGTCGAAGTGGCCAAAATGATTTTCTAAACGTATCTTGGATGTGGCACAGCCGAAAGCGTAGCGCATCCAGTGAGGATCGAACTCACTACAGAGTCGTAATTGATTTAGCGGGGCAAGCGTGTTAACCATTACACCACGTCGAACATAAGTACGTACCCTTTAAACTATCATCTAAATCACCTCACAACCCAAGCACATACTTTTTAAAAAAAAATCACTTCACCCCAAGCAAGACAACAGAGCCATTAACACACGGGGGTGGGGACGGTTACTCACTGTGAAAAAAATATAAGAAAAACATTATTAAGGGGCGAGAACAAAAAAAAAAAAGAATAGGATTAAAAAAAAAAACAGAAGATAACGATTGACATTGCATTTAAATTTTTGAAAATCAAAGTTGAATGAAAATCAAGAAGCCGGAATAGAGTTGCAGAAGCAAGAATTGCAATAGAAGAAACTGTTAACATAAAACTTTTATCTAGCCATTTTGACTCTGAGATGACGAGATCTTGCTGCCAATCTAGTAATGCGCTAAAATTCTAGGTACCATAAAAGTCAGTTCATCAGAAACATTTACCATGAAAGTAATTATAAAAAGCCATGTGGTGGGAAAGTGACTGAAAGTCGAGATGCCAGGTCAGGATTAATAACATTGCAGATTCTTCCTTAGATTCTATCAAGGATCTCTAAATATATAGCGGGAGAACCATATGTTGCAGCAATATTCTAAGGACGAATGGTAGACTTCTATATAAGATAGATGCTAGCGAGAAAAACTGTTTACCTCAATACAGTGAACCAACCTTCCTAGCAGCAAACAGTAATCCTCTAAAATAAGTTGCCGTAAAATCTTGTATTGGATGAATTTCAGTATAAAAGATATAACGGAAAGGAGTCTGTTGTGAGTCACGATTGCCTACCTACTGGTGCACAGCTATCGGTTAAATAGTAAGGTAGACTGAAATCTCCAGCTTTGGCTGATAGCCAATTTTGGATGCAAAGGGACTACTCCATTATATTTCACAAGAATGAATGATTTTTTTTTCTTTGGGACATCATTATTTATATTTCAGTTAATCTTACTATTTGCGGAGGGTCATTTTATTTAATCTTTGCTCTTTTTTATATCATTCTTTTAGTTAAGGTGTCAGAGCGTTTTCCTTTCTTTCTTTCTTTCTATCTTACTTTTCTTCTTTCTTTTTTGCTTTGATTACGTTTCTTTCCTTCTTTCTTTGCTTCCTTTCATTATAGTTCTTTGTTTCTTTCTTACTTTCTGTCATTACATTCTTACCTTTTTTTTTCTTTCTTTCTTCTTGCCATTATGTTCTTTCTTTCTTTCTTCTAATTCTGCAAATGCATATTTATTTTCTGTTTCATTGTACTTTATTTTATTTTCATCCATTTATTCTGAAAGGATTTTCTTAGATTTTATTCCGTTTCATCTTATCTCGATCAAATGTTATTACGAAATCCCGATAAAGCTTTCGTTCTTTTAGGATGCCATAAAACGAAGGAAATTATTTCGTATGCAGAAATTAGGATATTTGGACATCGATAGATAGATAGATAGATAGATAGATAGAATAGACAAAAAGTAATTATTTGCAATATATACATACTTATATGTGTGTGTATTTTAATCCGTCAGATTTTATCACTTTAAACGTTGCACGTTTCTATCCACGGAAGGACTTCTTCAGTTTCGCGTAACCTACAAAACGTGTCACATGCCGTTATCAATTTGGTATATATATATATATATATATATATATATATATATATATATATATATATATATATATATATATATATATAAAAAAAAAAATAAAAAAAAAAAATAAGTAGGAGGATTTGATAAACATATAAATAAATTCATTGAGTCTAATATAAACATCAACAGGAAAATAGAGGGAGCACTGGACGGCCGTTTCGTACTATAATTGGGACTCATCAGCAGTGCGCATCCACCACCAGGTATCGAAACCCTGACAGTTGGGTTGTCAAGCAGACAACATACCAACTGTACCAACCTATGTTGAGTCTGATATGAATCTCTACGGTGTCGAGGCCCGGAATTTATTTATATATATATGTGTGTGTGTGTGTGTGTGTGTGTGTGTGTGTGTGTGTGTGTGTGTGTGTGTGTGTGTGTCAGTCAATCCAACAGATTTTATCACTTTAAACATTATTTTGTTTTGGATTCTCATATCTGAGTAGACGACCCGGTAGAAATAAATAAACATACATAAACAAACAGGGCGTCTACTCAAATATGAGTATCTACTAAAAGTAACGCTTAAAGTGATAATATCTATATCTATTTTTTTATTTTTTTTTAATCCGTGTCACCCCAAGCAAGGCAGCAAAGCTACTAAAACACAAGAGGTTACAGGGTGTGGAATAATTAATAATGAGCGTAAAGATTACAATAGATAGCGACTGACATTTCATTAAAATCAAAGTTGGCTGGAAATCATAGAGCCGGAAATGAGTTCCACGAGCAAGAGGTGCGAGAAAAGAAGCTGTTAGCATAGAATTTACGGCTACATCTAACCAACTCAACTGTAAATTGACGAAATCTTGAAGGCAGTCTAGTACTGCGCTTAAATCCATAAAGTCTAGGTACCATAGCGAAGAGTTCGTCCGAACAATTACCATGAATGTATTTATTAAAAATTTCACAGAGAGGCTACCATACGGCGATCGGTAAGTGGCTGGAGCCGAGTCATCAGATCAGGACGAATAATATTGTTGATTCTTCTTTGAATCTTATCACGGAACTCAAAGTAAATAGAAGAGGCACCGGACCATATGTGGTAGCAATATTCTAAGCATGGACTTATAGATATGCAAGATATATTATGGAGAGAAAAATAGCACGCTCAACAAAGCAAACCGACTTCCTTAACAGCTGACCTAGCAATGGATTCGACATAGTCTTTCCACTTAATGTCAGTTGAGAACGTTACACCGAGAAGATGCAACGAGTTACTTTCATAGGGGTTAGCATCAGCCATGCTGAGGGAAGGCAGAGAGGAGTCTCTCAGATGATTAATGGAGTTTAGTTTTGGGGGCGTTAAAAATAACAAGCCATCTTTTACCCCAGTTAACGTTTTGAACATCAGCTGCCATTTTGACCTTGTCGGGTTGGTCAGAAGTAAATGGGTGTGTCATCAGCATAGATGCCAAATTGAGAGCTGACGACATGAGCAAGGTCATTAATAAAAATTTTAATAAAGCGTAGAACTATGGATGGAGCCCACGTTAGTACAAAAGAATCTAGATGAGTGGCTGTTCTAGATAACTTTAATTTCGCAATTTGATAGCAGGAAGATTCTACTGGCCAGCGTGAGAGTCAACAGTTGACTGACACGAATGTTAACTAGCATGCTAACATGCAAAAAAAATCGATAGCTGCATTCGTCACAAGTGGGAAAAATTTAAATCTGCATGGCACTTTACTCCAATTGGCTCATTCGCTTGCTTAAACTCAACGTTGATTCTGATTCCGCAGAACTGGGTTGGGTGTGAAAAAGTATTTGTTGTTAACATTCTTTTTCATTCGGTTTTTCAAGTTACGAGTCCTTTTTTTTAAAGCTGATCGTTTTGTGTTCATTTTGTTTAGGTTTTTTTTGTAACAGATTTAATGTTTAGTATAGAGCTTAGAAAAAATTAGCAGTGTGAGTTGGGCAAGAAGTAAGGCATGTAACAACATCAGCATGGCAAAAGGGCACTCCTTTAAAGGCAAGGAAGGACAAAAATATTTTAAGTCAAGTGATAGCGATTGCTGTATGAGTCGTACGATTTTTGAATCAAGCACGGGCAACACCGGACCATGCGGCTAGTTTCCCATATATACACACACACACATATATATATATATATATATATATATATATATATATATATATATATATATATTATAGAAAGATAAAAATATTTTAACCTTTTGTACAACCCGGGTTTCAACCGTGGGGTTTCATTAAATTAATTTTGCCTGGCTACTTGATGAGATCCCA